AAGACCAGCTCTTGCTGACAATCAAACGATGACTTTCCAACAAGATGGAGCCACTGCGCATACTGCTCGAGCCACTATGCACCTTCTAAGGCAGATTTTTGGCGAACGTTTAATTTCGAGAAATTCAGGATTCAATTGGCCCGCCCGCTCGCCGGACTTAACAGCCCCTGATTATTTCCTTTGGGGATATCTGAAAGGAAAAGTGTATATTAATAAACCCACAACCCTGCAGCAACTAAAAGATAATATTCGAGCAGAAGTAAGTGCTTTGGGGCCAGATATTCTGACTCGGGTAATGGAAAATGCTCTTGCAAGAGCTGCACTTTGCGAGGCTGAAAATGGCGGTCATTTGCGTGATGTAATCTTTCACACTTAAATTGTAAACAAACTCCAAACATTGCATTTTAGTTTTGTGTTAGGGAAAAAAAATAAAATTAAAATTTAAAAAAGTTATTAATTTTTCAAATCCCTTCGCGACTTTTGCCCCACCCTGTATTATAGATGTCATGTTTAATACAAATGAAAAATTATGATGACTGCCTACCTTTCACATGACTCCTTTGTTCAATGTATCCTCACCAGATAAAGCTAAGCCGGTCCTTGTATTAACACCCCCTATCCCTATCCCAGCTGAGCAATACTCGTTATATACAGTATACGAGTATGTATTGTTGCCCTGGATTATATGCTCTTTCCAGTAGACTATACTAGCACTAGCACTTCTATCAATACATGGCAATTCACAAGTCGTGACCAAAAATGAAACATCACAGGCAGGACCGCATTTTAAAGGGGGTCTTCTATGTAACATTTCCTCGAGGGCTCCATTAAAAATAAAGAAAACATTTTAATATCTTCAAAACCATCAACTGGCATGAACTAAAATTTGGTATGTGGATTTACCTAAGTATTGTCCACATTCAAAAGTCTTTAGTTACAATTAGCGTGGACCAGTGGCGGAAATACAGCGGATTAGTGGCATTATTTTTCCAAATTAAAATTACTATTTTTTAGGGCATTTTTTCGAATTTTACCTTCAATTTGCTACAAACAATTACTCTTGTTTTTTTTCCTAGAGTGCACTGTTTTCATAAAAGTTAAAAAACACATTAGATAATCAAAGCTTTATTATTCTGACGGATACAAGTGCTGCATCTTTTTAATAAAGAAAAGCGTATTTCCGCAAAATCTGTTGTGGCTTGAATTTGATGAAACGCATTATCTCTACGCCTTTGGTTCATACACATGCAAAGTATGAAAAAGTATAACAACCTGGTACCGCAGACACATGTTTAAGATATTTAGAGGAATCTACTGAAAGCAACTAATGAATGTAATATGCAATTATGATACAACTTCAACTTGACTGCAACATATTCTCATCAAATGAAGAGAGACTTTGCTGTACTGATATACCATACGAGGTATATTCTTGTCAAGTAAGTATTTAGCTGTTAAATACATATAACGGAAACTGTACCCGTAACGCCATATTATTAACTGTTGCAATAGACCCTTTAATGGATTTCTGGATAGGGTGTATCGTATGGAAATGTTTGTTACTTGAAGGACTTTTTTTTTCAATCTAAAAGAGCTCATGAGGTTATACACATCACACGAGGTTTTATTTTGTTAGTACATACTTCAACGGTCTATATTTAGATTATACAGGATATGAAGTTCTAAAACTGGGCATTCTTGCCTGTGTAAACAATATAAAGCCAGCATGAGCATGATAATGAAAAACGGCTATCTTAATGTAATTAAGGATATTCTATTGCAATTTCGCAACGTACGTCGCAATTTACGTCACAAAGATTTCAATTTCCCGGAACATTTGGACGGATAAAATGTTACACATATCAAGCTAAAAGAGGCTCTAACCAGTTGCCTTTTCATTTACACAAGCTACAGTCAGATGTTGCCAAGCTTTTTATTCTGAAACCGTTACTGCGTTACTGTTTCATACTACTTTATCCTTGTCTTGACTCTATAACAAATAGCATATTGCAGAAAATTCAAAAGAGTTGCTGTGGTTTTGTTATCGGGCTTCGTAGGTACAGCCGTGTTACATCTAACACTTGTGAGTTGGGTTGGATGAAACTCAAAAATCTTTTTGAGTTTTTGATGTTTATTTTTGATAGACAAAACAATCCTCACCAAGAGAGCTATGTACCTAGGGAGTCGATATTCCTCTTCACCGTACCTCATTGTATCAAATATCTTTTACGTACAATGCTTTTCAGTTATACAATTAACTCAGCATCTCCAAAAGTTTACTTGCCTTTTAAAAAATCGGTTAGAAAACAGCAGTTAGAGATGCAAAACATTCATCACTGTTTGAGTTATTGTTTTATTATTCGATTCTCATATTCGCTTATGTTTCTATGATATTCTTTTCATTATGGCTTGCTATGCATGCAAATAGTTTAACTTAATAACTGTCCAGTAGCTGTTTTATATGGCGTATGTAAACTTTTTGTTATGTTTCGGCCATATTGTGGTTAAGTGGAAGCCATCCAGCTATACTTCGCCATGATGTGGAAGATCACCAACCAAGCCACTTTATCATTGTTAATATATATATATATATATATATATATATATACATATATTAAGGCTTCCGCCTTTTGTTGGGTACTTCGACAAAATTTAAGCAAAGAGGACTCTTTATACTTTTTTTAATTCTCTCTAGCTTTCAATGGACTTTGCCATCATCATCAGGAGCTGCAATTACATTGATAACAGTAGCAACAATAGTGTAAAATGAATTTAAATTGACTTAACTTACAGTAGTATGTGAGGATATTGCTAATTGTTGTTTACGTTCAGGATGAGGGAAACACCCAGTAACATGGTGAAAGCTGGATAGATGGTACAATGGTCAAAATTATATAAAATACACACAAATGTGTGACAAGAACAAGTTAAAAACAGATTAAAAATTTTTAGAACATGAAAGCATTACATCGTGAAGCCACTTGATGATTGCACAAAATGGTGGTCATGGAATAATGAGTGAGATGAACCCTTTGACAGAAGGCCGAAGGATGTCAATGTCTGTGTAGAAAGATGGAACGAATTGTGGGCGTGTGCCACGTTGCCAAAACACTTCAGATGATGTGATTTTTAGAATGTTATGTAAGAAATTGTTAAACCGACCAGAGGCAGTTGAATTAACTATATTTTAATTAATGGGAAATTAAATTAACAATTATTATTAAATCGTGAGGAGAAAATTATTAGAATTTGAGTGGAATGAAGTTTATTGGTGGAAACGACCAAGAAACAGATTCCATTTATGGTTGTGAAGAGTCAAAATTTGGGGAGATATGTAAGTTCTCCAATTTTTCGCAGTTTAGCAAATATGAGTAAATGACACTCAGTTGCTTAACATCTGTCTTTTTGTTGATACAGTTGTTATTCATGAAAATGTGGGACATTTCCAGGAATAAACGTTTGGATAGGTGTTTTTCTTTATCAAGAACTTTGATACTTGTGTAATTCATAGAGTGCCCTGTTGTGTTAACATGAGATGCTAGAGCGCATCTTTCAGGATGAAGCGTAGAATCACTTTTGTGTGATGTAATCCTTCCTTTAAGAGATCTGGAGGTCTGACCTATGTATATTTAGCAACATCCTCACATACTACTGTAAGTTAAGTCAATTTAAATTCATTTTACACTATTGTTGCTACTGTTATCAATGTAATTGCAGCTCCTGATGATGATGGCAAAGTCCATTGAAAGCTAGAGAGAATTAAAAAAGTATAAAGAGTCCTCTTTGCTTAAATTTTGTCGAAGTACCCAACAAAAGGCGGAAGCTTTAATTTTTTCACCTAACTGGTCTAGACGACAATGACCACGTCTCAATATATATATATATATATATATATATATATATATATATAATGTGACCCTTTCGATGTCGAAAAGCCCAAAGCATATGCAAGCACTATTTTCGCAGTAACCTCAAAATTCCATCAAGGCGCAAGTAAATATACTACAAATTGATATAGTAATCCCAGAGGACCAGCAGGCCGCAAAGCTTGCCAGCTATCTTTTTTTTTCGTACTAGCTTGCTACACAAAGAAAAAGCTTTCCAATACAGATTCTCAGCTCTAGTTTTAAAATTGCCATATCTTTATAACTGTGGAAACGGATTGACTTCTTTATTGTATGCATTGTTTTCATTTCTTTGTACGCTGTTTATTTTAAAAACAAGTCATTTAATACAACTACCTCTACTACTGTCGTTCTGAATTTTTTTGCAACTTCCTATTTTTCTTGGCCTATATCACCAATAACGTCGTCCTGTGGAATTGTCCCTCGCGAATTTTTCCGCCATGTCATCCCGTTCGTAGCACGGCTACCTACATAAAAAGCCCACATGCCACCCCCAATTCACTCCATTTCCCCTTTTACCGGAAATCATAACCACTGTTGCCGCATACACCATGATTGATTGTTAATGTCGTAGTACAGGAACATAATATGCATCACTGAATCTCTATCAAGTACTAGCCGGATGCAAATTCTATTTGTAGCTCATGAACACAAGTTTGTGTATTCGAAGATTCTGACAAGTATTGGTGCTCAGATCTTGATCTAGACAATTCAAAATTAGGAAATTTGAGCATATATCTTTTACGTCCATTTGTCAAAGATGAAGGGGTTTATCCTTGTTTTTTGCACTTGTATTGGAAGTTTTGCCGATTTTGCTTCATAGAAGAAATTAAAAACAGAATATACTTTTTGGAGTGAATACAGTGGAGTCGCGATTTAGTGAACTCCGCTTCGAGTGAACTACCCCGTAGAGTGAAGACACAAATCTTTTCATTGCTTCGCGATTCAGTGAACAGCGGTAAACCCGGTATAGTGAACTGCGACGCACGTCTTGTAATATGTATTATGGATTTCTTTGAGAATATTAATCCAAATGTAAGTTGAATTGAAAAAATATTTTATGTTTATGTAATTCTGATTCTGAATTCTGTGCACATGTTGCAGGTAGTATGTGAAGCAAATGACATTAACGAATGGAATGAAGATGAACCAGTAAACTTAAATCATTTGAAGAATGACATAAGACTTGATACCGATTCGGAAGAGGATGGTGACAATACTACTAATATGTCAAATATAGAAGACAAACTTGTTTCAACAAACCAAGCTTTACGATCTATTAATGACATTATCCAATGGTCTGAGGAAAACGGCGATGCAGCAGAATACAGCAGATTGCTTGTGTAGCAAGATCTGAGACAAAAAATAGTAGAAATCAACTTGGAGAGAAAGTTTAAACAGCCCAAAATAACGTCGTTTTTCGCACAAGGTCCATAAAAATATTATGTTTTAAATGTTGTCTTCATAATTTTGTATAAACCCATATTTAGTATGCATTTGGTTCATGTGAATACATTGGTACTATTATTTTTTGCAGAATATATACTATTCTTTTGAATATGTGCCTTCAATATTATACCTCGCAAAACTGAACACCCCCGGTATAGTAAAATAGCTTTTCCAGAATAAGGTCACTAAATCGCGACTCCACTGTATATCGAAACAAAAATTTTGGTAAAACATGTCATTGTTTGCGAATTTCGGAAGGGTGATTAATGAATGAAAAGAGTGTATTTGAACTAAATAGAACAGTTTTCTGTTTGAATTATTATTTCTTAATTGGACCGTAAATCACAAAGGATAGGGTATACAGTACCTACTTTTGAACAACCCAAACCAGCAAGCTGAAATTCCAGATAATGAGCTTCCTGCACCAACTCGCGAGGAAGTATAATCGCGGAAATTTTCTAAAACGAAATATCATGATTTTTTGATGTTATATGACATTTACATCGCGAAAAACTATGTCACTCATGTCCGTCAGTCTGTCTGTAGGTCTGTATGTCCACTGATTCTTGGCCCGTGATGAATTTTTCACACGAGATAACTACTAGGCCAAGGATGAAAAGGCTTTTTACTTATTGAAAAAAGTTTCGTAGGGGTTAAAAGTAGGGCATTCGGAGTTGCAGGGGGTGGGGAAAGGTATATCTAATTTTGTGCGGCAGTATAAAACACCGGTAATTTTACACAGCTTATAGTACACATTTCACACATAATAGATTTCCCCATACATTTGCCTAATCGCGGAAATTTTCTAAAACGAAATATTATGATTTTTTGATGTTATATGACATTTACATCGCGAAAAACCATGTCACTCATGTCCGTCAGTCTGTCTGTAGGTCTGTATGTCCACTAATTCTTGGCCCGTGATGAATTTTTCACACGAGATAACTACTAGGCCAAGGATGAAAAGGCTTTTTAGTTTTTGAAAAAAGTTTCGTAGGGGTTAAAAGTAGGGCATTCGGAGTTGCAGGCGGTGGGGAAAGGTATATCTAATTTTGTGCGGCAGTATAATACACCGGTAATTTTACACACCTTATAGTACACATTTCACACATCATAGATTTCCCCGTACATTTGCCTTTAAAATAAATATTTAGAGTCGCGACACCCGGTCGCTCGGGATGCTGGTAACCTTCATGCGCTGGACTGTGTGCACTACCTGTAGCTACATCGCCGGCGTTCTTAATCAGTACCGCCAACGGTTCAAAAAATGCCCAAACTTGGAATGTACAAAAATTTAAGTCAATTTATTCAATTTCACTTCACATATTTTGTTGCTTCAAGATACATATTGCTAGCATTTTAACACGTATTCTCTTTCCCCCTTCTTGTGTCCTTTCGAGTATAATTAATGCTATTATCAATTTTCGGCATTTTACCGATGTTTTAAGTACTTAACATATAATACAAGTATCCCAAAGTAATAATTTTAACAGCTGTAAATAAAGGGCATGAGTATTATGGATACTGTATCGAAGTCGATTAATCGAACAATCGATGTATCGATATTTGTATTTAAATTGTCAAACATTTTTTAATCGACTTATCGTAAATTACAATTTCTATTTTAGAAAAAAATAGACGATATTCCATTAAATAGTTTATTTTTATTTTGACTTTATTGCATTTATATTTATATCTTGTGACTCTACTAGTTCGTGAAATCAGAGACCATGGAGAATAGACATCTCCATGGGTCTTGATTTTACATGCGTGAGACTTAAAAATTCTAAGATAGTTATCTATTATATGTTACAAGGGAAAAAGGTATTAGATCGGTACTCCCCTGAGCGTCGGGAGACAATGCAATATCAAGCTAAAATCTAGTATTTTTCCCGTGTATAACACACAATTTTTTTCTGTGACGGGAAAAACGACGATTTAATATTTAAAAATTATATTATTACAATATTTAGGTCAGAAAATTATCGATGTGAAATTTGAATTTTGAAATTGGTAGGCTATGTTGTACTTATAGCTACAATTAGACCTGCGTTGCTGAGGAAACTTTTAAAATTATCAAATACCTGTCAATTTAATTTTGTGATTTGATTTGAAAATTGTGAACTTAGTGGTTGTTTAGAAGTTATTTTTAATACTATAAAGGAAAAAATGTCGGAATCCGAGTTTTCCTGACTCCACCGGAATTAGTAGAAGTAGCCAAAGTAGCGTCACAAAAATTATTGCCAGTTGAATCGCGGATTTCGACTGTTGTACCAAATAGTTTAAGGAACGTGTCATTCATGCAATGCACATTTAATAATTGTACTTTTGATATAAAGGAAATGTCGCTTTATTGTATGATAAAATATTCTAAAATTAAATATCCACCTTTGCTTATTATATTTTTATACAATATCCGGGAAAAAGGTACTCATTTTTTTCCCGGGGAAAAAATTAATTTCATAAAATGTGACATTTTGTTACCTGTCAACAGAGATAAAGTGTGAAACGTTTTTCCCGTTACAGAAAAAAGTTATTGTTTCACTCCGTAAAAATACCCTAAGGACTGAAATACCCATTTTGATTATTTTCCCCTTAATTTGGGGCAAAATTGCCCAAGTTGGCATCACTGTTCTCAATCTGGAGTAATAGTATCGTGACGCTTATGAGGAGGTGGACTGGTATGGTTCATCATCATTGCCAGATGGTCGATACTTAGGGCAATTTAGAAACCACCGTTAGCGTTATCAAATGAATGGGGACTGTGGAGTTTGGACTAATTGCTTGCGCCTCTTTGGCTGACTTGATCCATACATTTTTTTGCTCTTAAGGACTAACTTGTGCCGAACGCAAACCTTTATGAATTGATGTCAGCGTTCCTTGGGAAGTGCAGAGTTAATTTATTTGACGCGATTTTTTTTTTAGCGTAAAAGTGCCAGCTGAAATTTTCAAGATAACGGATAGGCGCAGTCGAAACTGCGAAAATATTACTTTTCTTACGCTTCCGCTGCTACGGCAACATTTTTCAAATTAGGTACACTGAAATGTAAAATAGATTTGGTAGTTATGCTGCATTAACAGTAACGAACTTTCGAGGCGCGTGTATTGTTTATTCTTGTATAACTAAGCACTGCTGAGATGTACATACTTGGCGCCATTTTTTCGTTCTAATTCTCGGACTAACGTAGCGGGGGTAGGGGAGATTTCGCGTAGGGCGAATCGTCAGCTCCGTCATCGGCCGGAATCAGCGATAATAGATTGTTAAACACGTCGCGTATCCTAGCGTGGGCGAGCTCGTGGGATAGGGGAAAAACTGGGTCACTTCACCGCCGCCGGGCGACCTTCACAATTCGCGCGACGTGTGTCCTTCCACCACTGCTCCGGGGAATAAGTCATGTTCTCTGGAAAAAGTGCAACAAATTTTTTTATTGATATAGTAATGATGATTCAACATATTGACTGCACTCTGACTTGGGAGGTACATGCTCGTTCTGTTGTGCTAGAGTTATCTACCTCATTCGTAATCTAAAAATAGTATCTGATATAGTATTATTGACCAGCTATCATGCATGTTTCCACTCTAAAACGACCTGTGCAATTTTGGTTTAAGGACCCTCTGCACAAATGCAAAAAGTGGCATGCAAAGGCGGTGTATCTCTTACATGTCTGGCGTGGAATATAAAGATCCATGCAAGTTTGAATTCATCAAATGGGGGATACTGACTCTACCATGCGCTTACATTTTGAGTTGCTTGTTGTAAACACGTGAAAAGCAATTGTAGTATCTCGGCTCACAGTGATTTTCACAGTTATGAACCCCCAAAATCACTTACCCTAATAGCCATCGCCTTGACAAAACCAGAAACGGGACAAATTTTTATGGTGTCAATTTTTTTGAAAAAATGCCAAAACCTGTCAAATTTCTTGGGATTGATGCTTTTCACAAGAAACTCAAAGACTATATAACAGAAAAAGCATTATTCTGTATTGATGCATATTTGACAAATAACTTTTGTAATATGCTTTTGCAAATATTCATATTTGTTTAGTACAAACAGTCCCACGTCTCCGCATTTATTTAGTGTTCATATTTATTTTACTCTGTCCCACTTTTCCGCTTGTGCGTTTATATTTATTTTACTCTTCCGCATTTGCGGCTGTGTCAAGGTGCTTATTTATTTTGCTGTTTCGCATTGTTTGTCTGAATGTGTTATAGTTCACTGTTTTTTTAATTTTAATTGTTTCCTACTATGAATGCCCCTCAAGGCAGACATGTCTTTTTAACAAGTTCCCTTTTGACCTGTGTAAACAGTAATGTGTAGTAACACCAATAAATCATTAATGCTATTACTATATTGCCGTCATCGTCAATTATTTCGTAAACTGACAATCTTAGAAAAACTGATAGAACCACTTTTGCTCTTCATGAAATTCTCAAAAATTCCAGACAATTTTACCGTACGGTCAACAAATTTAGGGAAAACTGAAGGTCAAAGTTACAGATTATTACAATCTCGCTTAACTAGCAATCTAACATTATAGATGCTCTTATGACTTTTCAAAGAGAATATACGGTAATTTGATACAAAAATGGTATGTTGCATTTTTTCGGCAGCTTGATTATTCTGAAAGCATTCGCCTGGCCTGCTCGCACGCTACATACGCTGTCCTCGTGTAAATCTTGAGCTTTTAATTGATTTTATATTCGGTGTTCGGTCGAATAGCTAGATTACTGGTAACAAAAATACAGCGATCTATAAACAAACCGCCCATGATTCGCTTATAGATGGGTCGGCATCTATCGAGGAAGTGGCCACGCAGTATTGCCAATTTGACAAAAAATGTTCAAAAGTTACTACAATTATGAACCGAATGAAGTTCTCTTCTCGGCTTTGTTT